TTGTAAAAAGATGCTCTATCGAGTCCTCTTTCTATATGCAAAAACCGCAGCTCTCTAGCTTTTGCTATTCAAAAGTTATTCAAAAAATACCCACGGACCATCCTTTTTTTGGATGGACAATAGTCCTTACACAGACTTTGTATGTAGTGTATCATCTCATTGATTTCCTCTACGAGTTTTTTAGAAATAAAATACAAGAGCACTCTATTAACTCTGCTTCTGTTTGGCAGCTACATGCTGTGGCTAGTTAAATGATTCGTAAGCTTCTCACAGATGCCCACCTGATTGCTCTCTAAAAAGTTAGCAGTTTATCACACAAGCTTTTAGGTGATGAAACGATTTGCGCATCAATTGGCTTTGATACGCAGTCAAATGCAGGTGAAGAATTATGCTCATTTTTATTTTATCAATTATGAAATGAAAAAGAATGAGAATCAATCTTTACCATGTGGGCAGCCTATGAGTCATTCTTGTGCTTATATAGAAAGACGATAGTTTCTTTTTTCGTTTTATATGTATAAAGAAACGTGACTGTATGTGATGGTCACTTGTCTTGTTTGAACTAGGCGTCTTCTTTTTGAATGACAGAAGAAAACATCTTCCTTCTATATTAGCACAAGGATGACTCAAAAGATGACGAAATGGGAAAGATTGATTCTCATTCGTTTTCATTTCACAATTGTTGCTAGAGGCCTATTCGTTTTATCTGATCGTTCTTCTTTCCTCACCTTCAAATGGATTTTTCCTTTTCGTTCTGTTTCGCTTACTCTGCTGTTTGAGTGAATGCAATCATAACAAACGTGTTTCTTTTTGTTTCATTCTGTCACATTCCTCTTTCAACTTGCTTAGTATTACGTATACAGTGCCTTCTAACTGAAAAACTTCACTTTCACTTTGACAAATGGGCATATCTGAGGAAATGGTCGTAAGTTTTGGTGACAGTCCAAAAAAGCTCATTACATGCTCTGTCTGCCTCCAAGTATTATGGAAACCTATGACATGTGAAGAGTGTGAAAACTCGTATTGCACCGACTGTATTACACAGTGGTTAAAACAGCAGCAGGCAATGAATCGAAAGCATACGTGTCCAAACAGTAATTGTGAATTTAAGCAGAAAAATAAAATACCAAGTTTATTAGTTCAATTATTATCGCAGTTACGAGTTAAATGTGTCAATACGATAAATGGCTGCAAAGAACTGCTACCATATGAAGCACTCGATGAACATCAGTTAGTTTGTGGGTTTCAGCAGCAACTTTGTCAAATGCGAGAAAACGGGTGTAAAGAAATTGTATTGAAGAAAGATATTGTTACACATGGTGCCACATGTGGTTACCAAAGACAAGAATGTAAAGGACAGGTGTACGGATGTAAAGATATTGTATTAAAGAAAGATATTCTTGCACATGAAGCCGAATGTGGTTATATTAAACAGCAGTGTAAAGGAAAAGCCCACGGTTGTAAGGATTTGGTACTGAAGAAAGATCTTAATACACACGAACCGCAATGCAACTACATACAACTGCTGTGTCAGTCGTGTGAAACGAAATATTTAAGAGGCGATGGACATGAACTGATGAAATGTTTACAAAATCAGATAAAGAATTTAGCGAATGAAATGCAGAAGTCAAACGGTAAAGTTAAGTTAAGTTTCGTTTCCGAAGTCTCACTTCACTGCACCAGAAATTCAGGCAATTCTAGTACGTAGATGGCTAAGAAACACTCAATAATAAGAAGGCTGACTATCCGTCTTATTACTTTTCATTTTTTTTCACACACCGACTAACGACAAACTAACCACACGAACCGGTGTATCCCACAACGTGGTAGGCATGCTATCGGATGGGTGAACAGAGAGTGGATGAGGATGAGGACCTCAAACAGCATTAATGGCTTGCCTAGGGTCATTGCATGTCTGGTAGTGCCGAAGATCGAACACAGTACCCTAGGGTACGTGTCAAACAACTTAACCACTCAGTCATAGCGGCTTCGCAGAGATTTGGATAGGAAACCGTGCGCTCTTTCATTTAAGGCCAAATTCAAAATTTTATAGATATCCCTTTGGTTGCTCTATGTTCCGCAATAAAGACGATTTCCACTTGAAAACAGGAAAAAATCCTGCTTTCTGCGGAGAAGATAAAATGCGGATAACATGTTTCACGCATTAGGTAGAGATCTGTGCTTTTTGTCATTGGAATCAGCGCCCAAAACTGCATCTAGAAATATCTGCTTCTTGCGCCTGATGTCGGTGTATCAATCACAGTTTCCATATCAATTTATCCTTTTACGTCCAATTTTATTTAGCCAACGATAACCAACAAAAAACATTAATCGATCAACTGAAAGAGGAGACACGACTGTTAAAAGGTAAGATCAGTATATCCGTTCGGTCTACAGATCAATTTTAATGTTTTGAAAAATATTGTTGAAAGCTGAAACACAAATGTTAAAAGGTAAGACTGTAATGTGTTTCAAAAGGAGGGGGACGTACTTGATCAGAAAAGCGTCCTGTTTTTGTGCTCATTTTGTCTTAACTTTTGTAGAGAGGACATTTGTACACATTTTCCAGCTGTTGTTATCGACGAAAAATAAGCTGAAAATACGCTTTTAACGCTGGTTATTTTGAGATTCTATCAGGGGACGTCGTTGTTAGAAAAAATAATATTTTTGAACAATCCAGCATAGGTTTCACACAAACCTTGATATGAAGTCAAATGGTAAAGTTAAGTTTCGTTTCGTTTCCGAAGTCTCACTTCACTGCAGAAATTCAGGCAATTTTAGTACTCAGATGGCTAAGAAACACTCAATAATAAGAAGGCTGACTATCCCTCTTATTAGTTTTCATTTTTTTCCATGTTTTAGTCAACGAAGAAGAGCAGAAAGGTGTGAACACAAAATTATTAAAGGAAATTCGATTGTTGAAAGGTAAGAACGACTTCAGATCTGTTAAAATGCACAGGTTATTCTTCAGTGACAGTGCGAGACCATACTGAAAACATACCAGAGAATGAAAGGCACGAGTTGTCTGTTTCGTCATCTTTCACTTTCGTCTCTTCATTGACTGTTTAGCTAACGACGAAGAACTAAACAGAGAAATTCAACTTTTGCGAGGTACGTTATTAGATAAATATGAAATTAATTTTGGGTCAATACATATGAAAACCACCATCATTTTTATTGACTTGGTGCCGTAGTGACAAGATATACATTTTCCAACGCAGTTTCGCATGCTGAAACCTACGGTGAAAGCTGCAGCTCTCTAGTTATCACGTGAAATAAGTTATCAATATTTTATTTTCCTGGTAGAAAAGAAGATTTCTCACCGTTTCCACTCAGAAATGATCTCTGTTGCGGAATCTGGTACACCTAAAGAGTCCCGACGTAGAATCTCAGTTTTGTCCCAAATGAAAACTCAAGTCCTCTTCTGTTAAAATCACTCAAAAAAATTTAGGCCTTGATCTAAGATGTAAGAGATCAAGATCTTTAAAAAACTCAGTTTTGCGACTAAAGTCAAAAAAGCTCAAAATTAACCTGCCGTTAGATAGCCTATTCACTTTTGAATAAAATGAGTGGCATCTCGCATTCTAGCAAGCTCAATCTTGAAGCTGTAGCAAGATTTCAAAAAGACTTAACTTGTGCTCTCCACAAAAAGTGCCATTTCAACAGTAAACTTCCGTGACCTTGAGTATTTGCGCTAGCCTTACCTCTTGACCCTGATGCCGAACGTAACGCTGTTAGAGCCATCTAGGAAGGAAGAATATTCCGCCTTTCGCCTACCTTGCAGTATAGGCTGCTGCCCGGAGACAGTTTCGTGAGCCCGATATCTTCCCCGCAACTAATGCTAAGCTGTAGCTCTGGACAGAAGACCAGCCTGACTCAGAGTTCTTTCGCACAATCGCTTGAGCTCCCCCTACACACTGACTAACGACAAACTAGCCACACGAACCGGTGTATGCCTCAACGTGGTAGGCATGCTATCGGATGGGTGAACAGAGAGTGGATGAGGATGAGGACCTCAAACAGCATTAATGGCTTGCCTAGGGTCATTGCATGTCTGGTAGTGCCGAAGATCGAACACAGTACCCTAGGGTACGTGTCAAACAACTTAACCACTCAGTCATAGCGGCTTCGCAGAGATTTGGATAGGAAACCGTGCGCTCTTTCATTTAAGGCCAAATTCAAAATTTTATAGATATCCCTTTGGTTGCTCTATGTTCCGCAATAAAGACGATTTCCACTTGAAAACAGGAAAAAATCCTGCTTTCTGTGGCTGATGTCGGTGTATCGATGACAGTTTCCATATCAATTTATCCTTTTACGTTCAATTTTATTTAGCCAGCGATACCCAACAAAAAATATTAATCGATCAACTGAAAGAGGAGACACGACTGTTAAAAGGTAAGGTCAGTATATCTGTTCCAGTCCATTGGCTCAATCCATTATAATTAAAATACGGGCAAAATCAAGGAAATGCACTCATATTTTGCAGTTTCCACCATCAAATTTCAATTTTTTCCCAAAACCAACATCATGTTTGGAATCACTGTTGAAAGCTGTGCTGAACAATCTTTGTTTCGAAATTTTTAGTTTAATCAATTACAGATCGTTGCTGCTTTAGGTCAACAAGATGCTAGCCCTCGGTTGGCTTCGAGAATAGCATCATCAAGCTGGTTTCCACACGAGAACAGCACGCACAACAGCAAAAAATGAATCACTCAGACATTTACTGTAAACATAGTAGATAAGGTGAATGAGAACTATAACTGAATGCTTTTTGTTTTTCATTTAAATACGTTTGATCGTCACAGTTGTACAGCTGCGTGTTTTTTTGTCAATAAGTAGAAAAGAAAGAAAGACAGAAAGAAGAAGAGAAGAGAGTTTTTCTTCAACCAAACCTTGAGTATCTAATGGACTCCGATATTTAAATCGGTTCTGATGGAAGGATGGATTCATGTGGTAACGTTGAACTGTCTCGATTCGGTCGATGAGTAGTATTATATTTATTAAGAATTGCCTGTAACACCGTTCGCTAATAGTCTTCCACGCAGATGGAGAAAAAAGTACCGAAAACATCGTTGATATCGACTTTTAGGCGGTTTCGTCTGTTGTGGAAACTATAAGTCACTTGGCCAGTGATGGTTAAATGTTTTGCGAATGGTTTCATCAAGCACAAATAACGGTAGGGTGTGTACCCCGCGAATAATTGAAAAGACTGTTGTTATTTTGTCTATTACTCCTAGCACATTTTTTTTTTATCAATTTTACACTATCTCAGAGAGGGAAATTTTGTTTTACACCGCCTTAATGTTCGGCTTCTGTTTGCGACCCTGGGTCATTAAAACATGCTTTCAGTATATTTTTGTGTAGTTTCAAATACGCTCTTTCTTGTCTTGTAGAGCGAGAATCGTTCGAATCTAAATATCCGACGCAACGATTCACTTCTCAGCAATCAAATGAAAATAGCAAAGATTGTTACCCTTGTTTTCCAAATTATAGAGATCCGATCATAACGACTAATCATTTGTGTTCAAAATTAAAAGAACATCTCGAATGGATTTCAAGTTTGACGAAGGTTTATTTGTTTTATTGGAAGGGTCAAATTATTGGTAAAAATATCGTCATTTTGTGAAAATTGGCAAAATATGATGAAATTCTTGCGTCCTCAATTCTAACTGAAAATTATTTAAATTATAGATGGAAAATAAAGAGAGCTTTTCGAGGCGTACACAGTAGCTACTTCAACAATCCTCTCTCACAATTTTTTAGCAGATAATAGCAAAACAAACTATAAGCAGCTTAACCAAAAGGCTGCACCTGGCTTGCAAGATGAGTACCGTCAAACAAAAGATGTAGATGGAACGCAACGTACCCAGAAGTTATTGTTTCATCTGGAACCTTCAGATATGCTTTTCCAGATGCAGTTTTACACGATGATCAGGAAAAACACATTTGCGAAGCTCCAAGTTCATTTGGAACGAGTTACGCCATTTTTGAAAAACGTTCACGGATTCTCGAAAAGAGAGTCTTTTAAGAAAACTCGAAACCAACGTTGTTATTTTTCCGATGATATGAACAAAGAGGAGAGTTTTATTTTTAGAAAAATAAATGTTTAAACATAGATAGAAATATACAAAAACTGATTTTCTTCAATCAAGTCTATTACAGATCAACGTCATTGCTTCTACAGCATCAGTTTAATTTAATTTGGTTTCAAGTTGCTTTAATGTTGAAACCGCATATTAAAATTGCACTGACGCCAGCTGAAATTGGTAGAGAAATTTTCGGATGTTTAATTATTTCAATGCCAGATTCACGATGATTGTGACTTTAACACCACAAAAAGTTGGCACGGTGTTCTGATCATTACATCCCCTCGGTTTAAAGTAAAAAAAGACCTCTAACCACCTCAAAATTAAACTAGAATTTTGATTTCTAGAAAAAAAGATACACAGAAGTGAATAGTAGAAGATACTATTGAAAGTTATAAAAGCTATAGAACTAACTACTTAAGAGCCATTACAGATAAGCCATAATCTTGGTCAAAATGTACCATAGAAAATACGATACAGTTCGAAAACGGCATTAAGGCGAATGAATTTATATTCATAATGTGAAAATACTTGTAACTTGGTCGTTCAAGATCATAGAAACTTAGCCAGCATCTCATTTTGTGAATACTTGAAGGGGTCATCCAAATATATGGTTGAAAAACCTCTGAAAGAAATTTTAAAATTACTGGGTTTTCTAGAAAACAGAGTTATTCAGAAATCTTTATCTCAAGACCCCGAGGTGTATAGCGATCGAATGATGATCTTTCAAAATATTGATGTTAGCAACTTCTCATTATTGATAGATAATGAATTGTCTGAATATCATTTATCAGAATACATACACGTTAATGAACGTGAATGTCTAGAAAGCACTTTATGGATCGATCTTAATTTCTTTGACTCCATAGGAAGAAGATATCTGGTTCAGTTTTTGATGGGTGTTTTATATACACTTCTTCGAAGTTTCCATCGATTATCTATTGTTTTTTTCTAGATTCTAACTCTGATCAGTAACCTGAAATACAATGGCGTCAGTGGTCAGATTCAGGACTAATACAAGAAAATACACGCTCTATTAGATTATCAGCCGAACTTTTAATCAGAAATGCAATGTGTTCATTTGATAATATTGAACTGTCTATTTGTACAGGATAAGAAAAAAACCGACAATAAATGAACTACGGTTTGTTTGTGTTGTCGAAGCAAAGCAGTCAGAGGCAAGCACATTGCCATTACATAAGAATAATATTTTCTCGTAGAAAATAGTCAAAATTATCTATTTTCTTAGCATTCGTTTACTTTATTTCAAAAACATTTTGAAATTAAGTTTTAATTTAATTTTGCCTTCAGAAAACAAAACTTTAAATGACATTACCATCCGTCCGTTGCTTTTCTCCTTTCTGCTTCTTCCTCTTCTGTCGTTATCGTCAATCTTTTGTTTCAGAATGTACTAAAACTTTGCTATATGCACTGTTATTGGTACCGCCGTATGAATAACTTCATGACGTGTTTTCTTTGCTGGTACATGACCTGATCTTTTACTTTTTTTGTTAGAGATTTTTCTTGTACTTAGATGGTTTTCCGTTTTTGTTTCTCTTGTCTTTGCCATTTTAGCTAACATAAAATAAACCAAAAATACGAATCAGCAGTGCTGTCAGACATGGCGAAATTGAATTACAATTCGATAAAATGCGTATTGTTCTTAGAGTTCATTTGAAAAAATATTTTATCTAACATCGGTAAAATATTTCAAACGAAATGCAAGATCTTCGTTAAAGTTTTTATTTGGTAGAAACACGCTCGATGAGGAACAAGTGCCCCTTTGACCCCAAGCAAAAAAAATGGAGCTAGAATCGGGCGGTTGGAACTAGATAACACGGTTTCCGACCCGGTTAAGCTAGATCCAACTTAAAAAGTTTAACCTAGGATCGGGCGGTTCAACCTACTTTTGGGCGGTTGGGGAGGTTATACGCTAGGTTAACCGACTGCTTAACCGACCGATCGAGCTAGTTCTGTCTGATCTAGCTCCAACCGCCCACTTAACTGACCGGTTAAGCTAGTTTCTGGTATCAAATAAATTAAACACAGGGAGGTTATCAGCTAGGTTAACCGACTGCTTAACCGACCGATCGAGCTAGTTCTATCTGATCTAGCTCCAACCGCCCACTTAACCGACCGGTTAAGCTAGTTTCTGGTATCAAATAGACTAAACACAGGGAGGTTATCAGGTAGGCTAATCGCCTGCTTAACTGACCGATCGATCTAGCTCCAACCGGGCAATTAACCGACTGGTTCAGCTAGTTCCAGACATGAAATGCATTAGATACTGGGAAGTTATCGAGTAATCTACAGGTAAATCGGGTGGTTGCAGTGCCCAGTTAACCGGGTAGCTTAAAAAATAAGAAGAAGGAATATGTGCCTAACGAGAATCGTAAGATGTAAACGTTTTTTCTATACATGGCTAACGTTTGGTTACGAAACGAGACAAAATGAGTAATGGTGTTCTCTTTTCTTTCACTACTTTCACATTCATGAATGTGAAAGTTTTATCGGAATGGCTAGGCACTCCCGGGAGTGTCAACAAGAAGCTATTGGTACTCCCGGGAGTGGCAACTAGGAGCTATTTCCGTCGCCAGGCAAACTTAGTGTAAAAGCTATGTCGGAAAAGCGGTTTATTCTCCGGAGCCCAGCATTTTAAATTAAATGTTATTCTTTTAAAGCTTTTTTAATTTTTGAGTTATTTGTAAATGAGTTCTAATTCGCGAGAAGTATAAGTTATTTCAAGTTTCTCTCCAGTGCGATATGGTTAAATGAAAAAACAGTGTCACCGGCGTAAGTTCAAATAGTGCACGTATATTCTGTTTTCCGAAAAATGGAACCTGTTTTTTTTTCAAAGAAAACGCCGTGTGTTAGGAATTATACGGTTGCTGAGGGCGCCACTGTAATCTTGTATTTTTGCAGTGTAGTGGCATTTCCTAGGTGTGCCAATAGCTTCTGGTTGACACTCCCAAACAGTTGCTGGGAGTGCCAATAGCTCCTTGTTGACATTCCCTGGGAGTACCAATAGCTCCTTGTTGACACTCCCGGGAATGCCAATATACTCACCCAAGTTTTATTTCATATGCTCTAAAAATGCGTGATACATTTCACTCAGTATGTGAAAGGATGAGTCATGATTTTGGCAGAAGACGGTAATAGCAAAGACAGACGCCATACTCGATTCAGGCTACTTGAGTTTGTGGCATCTTTTTTACATGTTCCTTTCACACTTTCACGAAAACAATTAACGCATAGAGAGACAGAAAAAAAAATAGATATATGACATGAATGAAAGTAAAAGTTTCGTTATTCATTCTCCTTTTGTCCAAATGAAACAGTACCATATATAAACCAGAGCTCCGTATGGACTGGACTGGACTCAAATTCATGGTGAAAACCCGGAAATGAGCCAAAAAGATAGTATTTCCGATTTCCCACCATGAAGGAAGAGTTTTCCAAAGGTGAGTTTAGAGACAAAAATATGGCAAATTTAATTTCCTAAATTTTATCTACTGGGTTCAACTGTGTACAAATTGATCTTCAGGATGAAAAACAATATTTACTGTTTTTTACCCAGAAGAACGATTTCTGAAAATCTGGTTCCAGCACACAGAATTTAGAAAATTAAATTTGCTACATTTTACGTTGCAGATTTAACTCTCAAAAATGCTTTTCCCAAAGACAAAACACAAATCTCTAAAATATGTTCCGAATGATTTCATCACTCATCAACTACTACATGTGTGCCTGGTAGCTTAGTTGGTTAAAACGTCGCGTGTACTTCTAATCTCAATCCGAGTGCGCTAGTCAGCGAGTTCGATTCTCGTTAGGCATATATTCTTTTTTTCTTACTTTTGAAGCTAGCTTAGAGTGCCCGGTTAACCGGGCGCTTCAACCACTCGGTTAATCGGGCTCTCC